TCGGTAACTACTTGGCCGATTGCGCTGAAAGTTGGCATGTAGGTAGGCACCCACTAGGCATTGCATATACATGTGCCAGAGGTGGGGTGCTGCTGCACGTGCGCACGTGCAGGGGTCGTTTCCAGATCTCGGGAACGGCTGGACCGATTGCGCTCAAATTTGGTACACGGTTAGGGACCGGTTAGTAGGGTGCCGTGCACAAGTCAGTTGGGACCCGTTTTGCACGTGCGCACGTGCAGGGTGCCGCTTCTAGATCTCGAGAACGGCTGGGCCGATTGTGCCTAAATTTGGCACATCGCTAGAGACCAGTTAGTAGGGTGCCGTGCACAAGTCAGTTGGAGGTACCCCCTCGCAATTTCGCACGTGCAAGGCCCACCCTCTCGCTCGCTCCGTTAGTCGCCCCAAAAGGCGTTATACTGGTTATGGAGCGAGCGAAGCGAGCGTAGTCTTTCCTTAGATTAACGGAAATTTCTGAGTATGAGCGGCCGGCCGGCCGTGGTCACGCTTTTGCGAGGCTTATATCTCAGCAACCACTTGACCGATTTACACGCGGTAATTTTTGTAGGGTAGCTTCATTCCTTCTACCAAGTATTGGACTATTCCCGATGCATGTGGGTGACCCCTTATGCACGTGCCACGTGCAAAACGAAGAGGTGTCACTTTTGTAATTGTTGCAATATCTCGGTAACTACTTGGCCGATTGCGCTGAAAGTTGGCATGTAGGTAGGCACCCACTAGGCACTGCATATACATGTGCCAGAGTTGGGGTGCTGCTGCACGTGCGCACGTGCAGGGGTCGTTTCCAGATCTCGAGAACGGCTCGACCGATTGCGCTCAAATTTGGTACACGGTTAGGGACCGGTTAGTAGGGTGCCGTGCACAAGTCAGTTGGGACCCATTTTGCACGTGCGCACGTGCAGGGTGCCGCTTCCAGATCTCGAGAACGGCTGGGCCGATTGTGCCCAAATTTGGCACCTCGCTAGAGACCAGTTAGTAGGGTGCAGTGCACAAGTCAGTTGGAGGTACCCCCTCGCAATTTCGCACGTGCAAGGCCCACCCTCTCGCTCGCTCCGTTAGTCGCCCCAAAAGGCGTTATACTGGTGATATATTTCGACTTGCGTCGTCTTCAGAATGTACATTTTCGGAATTGTCGACGGGCAAATTCAAATCCTTTCAAAATAGCGTGCAACATTTTTGTGAGATCTCTGGCTAACAAATTACAGTCAGGTCATACCTACAATAAATTTTAACAGCGTACAATACAATGCTCCAAGATCACTGAATAACAATTGGATAAATATTGTCAATGCTACACAATACCTAAAAGTAACACAGGCATATGTTGTTTGTGCAGCACGCCAAACTCGCGAAAATTCAAAACCTATGCAGAGTGATTGACATGATAAGATGCATTCATACACTTAATTACACATGTTTCAGGTGCGTACAACTAATACATACACACAGCAGAGTAAACATGACACCAGTGTAGAGCTCGCTGAGGTGGTGCACGAGTGGGGGGGACGCTGTCATCTAAGATCATTTAAAGTGTTAACATTAGAAAATGTACATATTTAATTGCATCGAATTTAAATATTAACCGTATCCCTGGGCCGTTGTATTTTGTGGCTAAGCTAACCTTGTTGACTGGAGAATTGCCGCATAACTGTTGTGCCGACGCGTGTGCAATGCAGGCTATGTGTTTTTACCATTATGGAACGCTCGTAACTTAATATTTGTGCCGTAGTCTCACATTAGTGTAATGAATGGTGTACATGGTAGCGTAGTATAGATGCATGGACATTGGAGGATAATTCATTACATCGTGGTGGCATGTCTCTTTTCATAGATATGGTTGTATATCAGTTGGAGTTAGCCTGCGGTCGAGTGGCCATCGCAATTACCATCAAGACGCGACCATATAACCTTTTTAGGTGGCGCAGCTTGGAATGTCCGGGGACGGGTGACACTGGGAATGAAGCTCGGGCCCTCCCGATCTCTGACCTGACGCTATCACTACCTGTGCTGGCAGTGTTACTCGTTACATTAAGTAAATTTGAAGCAGCAAGTCTCCTTTTCAAGTCCATACACGGAACACTTGTAGCCAATTTATTTGACGCACCTGACATCTTTGTCACTGCCGAGTCGTTGTCTCGTATCGCCAATTACCAGTCGGCAGGGTAAAGAACTGTCCCATGGCGGGCTTAAATTCAACATTGGATTCGTCTTCCGTTACCTTTGTTCGTTGCAATAGCAGCATGTCCCCCAGAGAGGTTTTTGGTCTTCATCTCCAGTTTCAATCGAATAAATACTTCGCTCTTGCTAACGACAAGCCATAACGAGGTGTCATCTGTCCTTTGATAGATAATTGGCCAGTCTTGTCAGTCGTCAGTCACTTACAACAGAAGTTCTGCAGGTTTTATGCGGTATACCAGTGTCTGTATCTGGAGTTATGTTCAAGTATTCTCAGTTTCCGACGGGACCTGACTCGTGAAATACCCCGCTCCATCGCCCTCCTCGCCACTCAGCTGATCAGTGGGGCGTGTGATCATCTTCCCCAAATTGAAGCCGCCCTGCGGGCGCGGCCAAAGCGGCGCTTCCGGCACGATCGTTGTGCAGTCAGCCAGTGCCTATCCAACCGTGAAATTTCACGGAAACGACGGCCAACTCTCGACCCGCAGTGCATGTCGACGCAGATTGCGACTTCATGTTTCATACCGACCTGACCGTGAAAATCGGGGGATTTTAGTCGGGACCAGACCGTCCGAGGCCGTTTGAGGCCGTATTTCTGGTCAGCCGGCTGGCCGAGACGGTGCAGTTATATTAACTCTGTCGGTGAAGTTATGGGGTGCTCTGGAGCTGGTTTCGAAGATGGCCCTCCCGGCGGTCGGTATCAAAGTTATGGCGTGCTATGTGATCATGTAGCTCGTTATGTGTTGAAGTGTGGGGCGCTATTGGTAGATAAATCCATACCGTGTGCATTGGAGGTCACTGGGGGACAGCGATTGGATATTTGCAGGGCATTTGCTACAATCAGTGTTGTGCAACGCGGTGCCTTGTGTTTTAGGTTGTACATTGGTTGGCATTACAACTGAGTCTCATATCTTCTTAAAACTTGATATTCCGTCAAAGTGATATTTATTGGCTGGTTGGATGAAGACTTAAGGCTGAAAAGTAACGTTAAGTACTTAAGTGTTTTATTTCCATTGCTGTGAAAGCGTGAAGATATTTTTTAGTGTTCAATGAAATCTCAATCAAAATCATCGTCGACAAAATCATAATCATTGTATAACTTTCTGCATTACCGAGCGTGAACTCAATGTGTCAAGCTTTTTAAGCTCAAAATCTCGCGGCAAAACCTGGAAGGGGCAGGATAAATTCTTGAAAGTACGGCAAGGTCACCGTATTACCGTTTTATAACATTCCTGTTCGGAATTTTCCATTTTGGTAGAGCTATTGGGTGTTGTCTGTCTCACAACACAAAGACCCACATCTCATTGTACGGCGTATTTCGCGGGAAACGCATTGGCCGACCCGATATATGCTAATACAATCTCTTCACATTTACATCGCCCTAAACTGTGTAACAGCGGCGTCTATTGCCACTGGGATCGGCGCTGTTTCGGCTCGATCCCGGTCTGCGCTGTAGGGCCATCAGTAGGCGATGGCCGTGCTCCCAATGGCAGGCTCGCGTCCGCCACCCCACGCGCCGTGAACGGAATCCGATTCGACTCGGCAGCGAGCCCCCGACCAGAATAGAATGCTCACCTCGTGTGGCCATAAATTCGCTGATGAGGCGAACAAATCGAAAAACAAATCGTCCGACCGCGTGACCGCGCTGGCTACTGATGTGAGTGTGTGGATGGGAGCGAGATCCCAGCCTAGGAATCTGCTAGTAAATGCTGGAGGAAGACGTAAAGCACGACACCACAAGTAAATGAACTGTCCGTAAATTGGCGTTGTGCCTCCCCTGTCACATCACATCCCCCTCCATTATAATGGATCAATAATTATTGATCTGTTGAGATCAAATGGCTGCTATTATTGATCCATGCTCCGGTATTTGACATTTGAAATAATGAGTGATGCCTTACCAGTCGGTGAATGAGAACTGTTTGGTCTTGGTGAGGTGTGAGACATGCTATGGAAAGAAGGACTATGTTTGATTGTGGTATTAGTTTCATTGTATTTATGCCATTGCCCGTCATGCAGCACCTTTTTCGACCATGCATTCCGAGTGGTTTTTATCGTCACTGCTTTGTCGTACGTCGTACGAGAACCTCAATGGAGTTTTTTATTGACCTTCGCCGTCAACATTTGCATGTCATTTGCACTGCCATTTGAATGATGGAATGTGACATTTAAGCACTTAAAGTCTGTCCTATGTCCTTTGTGTATTGTTATTGCCTACGACTTTGTCGTTTGATTTTATGCCCGTCTGTCAGCTGATCTGGAGTTGATTCATGCCGCCGACAAAACAGCCTATGAGCACTCTGCTCCATGTCATTATGTCGTAACCGTCTGCGACTATGCGAAAAATCCGTATACCTACTTGACTGCCACGGTGCTTCAATTTTCTTTATAATCGCTGAACTGCAAAAATGTGTGGTATGCTATATAGATCTCTGTTCACGTGCCTTCTACCAATATATGACGCAACATCCGTTATCGGTGTTCAATTGATCCACATTCCATAGGGCCACGCTCTTATTTGAACATTCCTTAGACCCAGATGGCGACTATAATAGTCTAGCTGGGTGCATTTACCTCGTTTATTGACATGATCCTGCAGGTAAGTCCGCTGGACCTCATTAATTCGGTCACATTATAACCTGGTACTGATGTGTTACCGACCTGCCATTCTGCAAAGGCTTTTAGACGACCCCGTTGACCTTGCTCTCTGACCTCCCTTCGGTCTATCTCAGATGACCTGACCTCGGTAACCTGACCTCTGTGACCAGACCTCGCTGACCTGACGCCGTTGACCTGACCTGTTTCAGCGGAGGTCCTGGATGTCGGTGCGGACGGTGACCTTGACCTGGTGTCGGTGACCTCCCTGTTCGTGCCTGAGGGCGAGGTCGTCATCCCTCGTCACCGTCACCAGTGTTCCCTGCAGACGCGCCTGCGCAAACGGCAGCTGTACGGACCCCACTGGCGGGAGACGCTGTCAGAGGCTGTACAGCCGACCACGGCAGCGGTGCCAGAGAGTGTGCCTACTGGAGACACCCCGACCGCTCTGTGACGCTGTGGTAGTGGCCACGAGGATGGGCTTTGTCAGAGACTGTGCTGCAGGGATCAAGGAAAAACCATATTCCGGCGGTAGCTATGCAAGGTTGGGATGGCGACGCCACCAACTCTTTGTCAGATGCTGTACCGCAGTGAATGTAACTGGTGAGGCAGGATGAAGTAAATGACGTCATGCTGCAGCTGTGTCGTCGCCAAGTGATCGCAGTGTCGTGAGAGAGACGGTAGAGACCCTGTGAGACTGCTGTGAACCGTTAGGGACGTTCCCGAGTTCAGGAACTCTGATGTCCCAAAGGCACGGTTAATAGCACCATGCGCTTAGGGAGGCTGTCCATCAACCCTAGGCAGTATCGCCAACGTTAATGGGCCTGCAGACACATTGGAATGTCGGTACTCGGAAGCGCGCGTTGCTGTCCATTTGAACGGTAATGTAACGAACATTACCTGTAGCTACCTGTGACCCAAAGTGGCGTTAAAAAGTCTTACGGCCCATAACGGCGTCGCCTGCGCCTACCTAAGTTTGAGCTTTGGATTCCTGATAATGGCCGTTAATAATGATAGACCACGACGTTAAAAGCGGTTCATGGGCTCTGCTATGTCGTTTATTTTCCTATGCTAGGCTACCATGGTGGAACTGCATCCCTGTAGTATCAACGTAACCAACAGAAACATAGCCACCAACATAGCCAGTCAGATACATAGCTAATAGAACGGTCACGCGGCTTCCACGTCGCCTCTGTGAATCCAAGTTATTGGATTTCGTCCTTCTATGGGAGGTTTGCTTCCTTTTGCTCCGGAGCAGTGATCCATTAGCCTTTGTCGTCAAAGGTTGACGTATATCAGCAGAATGGGAGCATCGGGCTTAGCAGCGACTTCGGGCTTAGCAACGCCAAATAAACTGTAGAGTGTATGTGATGTGAGGTGATGCCTGTAGTCACAGACTTTTCTGCATAGAGAAGTCTGTCTTGTAGCTTATCCATTGTGTTGAAAATGTAATGGTTAAATGCCTGGCATCATTTGCCGTCAGGTGCGCTTTGCGTGCTTAGTGTATGATGTGCTATCGGCTTAACTGTCGCCAGGAGTTTTACTGCTTGCGATTTGCTTGTGATTCTTCCAGATTTGCGTACTTTTTGGAACGGGATTTTCACACATGTAAATTGCAATGACAGTGTATGAAAATCTCCGCGCTGCCAGCTTTATATCTAGTCTACCGTTGCCATGTGCATTGTCCACTAGCTTGTATGCATGCGATTGGTATTTACATTACGAGGGGCCCTAGTGTTTGCCTTGCTGAGTGCTGATGCATGATAAAATGTCACAAAGGTCAATAGTCACCTGCGTTATTGTGCAATCTGTTTTTCTTTCACTGACAAAATGTTGCTCATTCCGTTATTTAATCTTGTTGACTTGTCATAACGATCATTGAACACTTTGCAATGCTTAAGTGGTTGCTGGCTCATATGATCGCCAAGTATTTATGATTAAGCATGATTTAGTCAGTGATGTTGTTCGTTTTAGTTCCGTTTCATCGCATTGATTTACAGTCCCAATCGTGTTTCGATCAACCACTTCTGTGCAGCTAATTGTGCATCTTTGAGTCCCAGGTGTAACCGCCTGCAGTGCTGCCACCGTCACCCGCTTTCCGTAAGACATTCCAGCCGCCCCTGTCCGAGTTATGTGCAGCTACTGCTGGTGTCATTGATCTCCAGCGGCTGCCGACGCCGGCTCCTGGTGAAGCCGGGGTCAGAGGTGCGATTGATTTGTCCCGGGTGGTGGGGAGAGGTCATGATAGGGGTCAGGCGTTCAGGACGGAGCTTCCAGAGGCAGTGGTGAGATGGTTAGGGCAGCAAAAGTCTGGAATGGTATGTGGTTGTGTCAGAGATGAGTGTTGAATTCCTTGTCAAACGTTGCCATGCAAAATAGACTGTGATATGAATAATTTGTCTTTTAGGCGATGGCCATTACGGGAATGTTGCTAGTAGTATTGGCAAGCTACGAGCAGCAAACATCGTACTCAAAAGTTAAAACATGCTATTTGATGCATAGCTAGCTATTGCATTGTTTAGGGTAATTGATGGCTCTTTTGAGAGGCTGGTCTGGTTTTATTATTTTACAAGAACGCTTAAGTTCGTACGCCATACGTGAAACGTGGTGATTTCGGTGTAACTTTCGTACCGAAGGAGCTTATTACAGCATGCTCCTCGCGACATCTTTTTTCAGTTGTCACTATGTCGAGCCAAATTTCTTACAATGTATGAATGCATATAACACCTCACCCGTGCGCTGAAACAGGAGTAAAAAGTTAGAATCACAAAACAAATATTAGCCTTAGCATAATTACCTTATCGGTGGCTCCATGTTTTATCACCGGTCCGGTCATAAGCGTAGGAACGGGGGGCCATGCCCCCCCCCCGCTTTTCAGCCATTGTTTTAAGTAAAATCTTTATTTTTATTTAACTACAAAACTAAGAGCAGGACATGGTTCGGCAAGGTGAGATGAGCACAAAACTGCAAAGAATTTCTTCATATAGGCGTATTGGGGTTCCCACAAAGTGACATTGAAGTTTCGCTGCCCCCCCCCCACACACACACACACACACACACACATTTCGTGAGGTCCCTACGCCCATGTCACCGGTGTTTTTTATCTGGACTTCATTACATTGTCTTGAGCTGCTTCATTGAGCCTCTGAACCGTTAATTTAATTTTAACCTAGTCCCCAGAACGTCCGCAGGCCTCTGAAGTTGTCCGAATTTGTGGTGCTTTACTTCGAGCAGCCTGACTTCGCAAGTATTTCTGAACTTGTATGGCGTCTATTCCCGCCGATAAACTGTTTACGATAACTGGGCAAAGCGGGATATTGAATCCTTGAAAGTTGCTCTTCCTCCCCATAAAGGCATCTTGTTGAAAACATGTGAAACTTGCAACTCAACGTCCATCAGCATGTATAGTGCTCCTGTCAAATTATGAATGCTCACGCTAGTTTAGTAGCACCAGATTTCGGCAAAGAAAAACTAAACAGTTGATTGTGTCCGAAGTTAGTCGCTCCACAGCCCTGCTATTATAGGTACTTAATGCCGAAGATATACCTAATTTGCATCGCTGAGCCTGCTAAGTTCAGGCTTCAGCTACATAATGGTACTGTCCAGTGAAAATTCCTTGTAAATGTTGTTTACAATAGGAAAGTACGGCACTGGATAACATAATGACCAATAATTGAATTGAAATGTTTCTGCTTTGCCACCATTAATCGGTGAGAAGATATCAATATTTGATTGTTTCTGAGCGTCCCATCGAAGCGTCGTTTCCATGTCGTTTCCCCTCTTCGTTTCTCTGTCTCCCTCTCCCCAGCCTGTGTCGCATGACTTATTGGTCGGAGGACCATCACCGCTCACCTCCAGCTTCAAAAGACTAAAGCCTATTACTTCAGCAGTACCACAATCTCATCTGTAAGGCCCGTTACCAAACACAGTACGAATATATTTTGTCCTTACAACAAAAATCGCTGTGTTCTCGGCTCTCGCCAAGCATTGATGTGACAAGTCCATAACAAAAATCGCCCACGATATCCACTAGCCTAACATACACACTCAGTGAAAACATTGCCGATTACCCCTCCCTTCCCTGCCTAGTGCCTCTTCACATTTTTTTCCCTCAAAGTCCTCCCCCCGAAAGTCCCCCGAAAGTCCCCCCTCCCCTCTACACTCTACTACAATCAAATCGATCATCGGCTCTGTGCAGGTCGCACAGCGACCTCACGTGACCTCCCGCTACGCCGCCATTGTTCTCCACTAGAGGGCGCGGCTCGTCAAGGTCAAATGTCACCTGTTTCGCATACCGTCCGCGAGAGGGCAGCGTACGCGAGTGACCGACCACGGGCGCCAGGGGCGATTCTGCGGCGAGATCCAGCTTGTGCGTCCCGACAAAAAGTTCCGGAGGACGCGTGGGCGCGCGTTTCAGCAGGTCGACCGGACTGCGCACGCGCCGAAGAAAAGCGTGTGCGGACATGAGTGCCGCCAGCTGAGCGACCAAGATGGCGGCGGCGGCGCCGTAGAAGCAGGCGCCCATTTTGTAGCTGGTGGCGCCACCGGAGCGTAGCGGACGAACGAGGAACTCGTCTGAGAGCATGTTCATCATGGCCACCTGAGCGGAGCCCAGTAGCAGACCTGCGGGTCAGGGCATACGAGGTCACGTAAAGAAAAACGAAATCAAACCTTGCCGGGGTAGCAAGTCGCCATTAGACCTGTCGACTGAGGTTTGGTCAGGCTCAAAGCCGACATAAAATCCTCCGGATCAGCTAAAGTCAGGATTAAGGATCAGACCTTTAATTTGCCGGAACAGGCTAGGTCAGATTCAAAGTCGATATCAGACCTCCAAGATGAGGGTCAGGTGCATGACCACCGTAAGACCTTTCGGGTTAGTCCAGGTCAGGTCACATGTTACGTGTATGCTTAGTTCAGGACTCGGGTAGGTACACACAACACAATGTTCAAAATGAGCCCCGCAGGTGCAGTCTGCTTAAATGCATAGCATCGCTCCCAAAGGCTAAGTGAGCCTTGCATCGAATCGTCCATGAAGTCCCCAAGTCCTTGGGACGGCTCTTAGTGCTGATTGGCGACTGCCATGACAGAACTCTGGCGAAGATTCCCTCGCTCGCATCGCTGCTCCAGACACGGCATCGCTGGCGGTGGAAATTCACTGGGAGGATAGACTGTGCCGCATCGCATCTGTGTTCGCCGGCACAGCATACCAGCATCAATAACGCTACAGTTCGCGGCTCGGTTCCGTGGGCGAAAGAGTTTGATTGGTCATTGGGGGACGGGAACTGTAATAAAATTACTTTAATTGTTTTTTTAAGCTGTTGAGACGATGGTTCATTTCAGTTTATGATACAGCTCTGAGCTCACTATAATAAGGCGGCTTGCACAAAATAACTTAGCAAAAGGGTTGTATTTGCTAAGTTTTTTTTCTTTCCTCCATTGTACTATCTTATATCTATGCATACACACTGTCTAACTGAGCAGTGGGCTTTCTCACCTGCTAACACGAACATGCCGGCAGCGGCGATGGTGCAGCGCGACTTTCTGCAGTGTCCCACGATGGAGAGCACGCAGCCGACCACGGCCACTGTCAGACACAGTGCCAGCACCGGAGCTATCCGCCTGCGCACGGTGGAACGGAGCGGGTAAAACGCCACAGGAGACAAGGGAACTTCGGGTGGAAGACACGTGAAACGGCTGCTCGAATAGGTGCTCTTCGGGGGCAGAATGAGGCGAAATGCCCATATGTGATATGGACGCTGCTCAATGCTCATGCTTTACTACTCAGGCAACGACATACATATAAATTGAACGCATTTAGCACGACAGGAGAGGTATCAGAGTGGAGTGTTTCATTCGTGAATGTCATGACGTAATGAGTGAGAGGTCAGAGGAACGGTCGGATATAGTTACTTATTACTATGGAACTAGCATTGGGAACTTGATACTCAATTGTGAATTGTGATGAATTAATGAGATAAACCGGATGCATTTCTAGCACACGAGAAGCCAGCGCAGATGCATTTGATGTTTATAACTTGAAAACGAAAGAAATCGAAAGTCTACCTTTATTTCATATTAATTGAGATGCCTTTAGGTATTTAGCACATAACCTGAGCCGACCTGACCTGATCCGGTCGACGACGCTGACGGTGAACACGGCCACCAGGTGAATGGATTTGATGTCCACGCTGGTGAGACGGTCTGTGTTTAGATAATCAATCCAGGAGCAATCCTCGGAGTCTGAGGAGTTCGAACCTGGGGAGGGAGAGAGGGAGGGAGGGAGGGAGGGAGGGAGAGAGAGAGAGAGAGAGAGAGAGAGAGAGAGAGAGAGAGAGAGAGAGAGAGAGAGAGAGAGAGAGAGAGAGAGATTATATCAACTGCTACTTAAAGGGACCCTCCCACCTTCAAAAAAGTTAATGAATTGGCACGAAAGTGATGTCGCTCGGTTCAGAAAGAGCGAAAACGAATATCTACCAAATTTCATCGAAAAATATTCACCGGTTTTCAAGATATTAGACTTTTACTTTTGTTTACTTTTTGGGATCTCCGCTGTTCCTAGCGACTTTATTTGAAAGTGCGGCATTTGTTGCGCGCAAAGCAGCATATACCACCGCATGCTACCAAACGTTTTAGTAAAAGATTTAAAAATCGTTAGATCTCCGCTGACGTCACAAATTCTAAGGGGGCATACCAATGCACTAGCCCCTTAGAATCCGAAAACTGCAAGTTTGAAATTCCATATCTCCGAATTAAAGCATTTGTCGATGTTGTGAGTGCCCAAACCGGTATTTGCAGGCCATGGCCACCAATTTGGCTATCTCAACTCAAAACTAATGTTAAGGTGGGAGTGTCCCTTTAATTATTAGCGCTGGAGCAATATGAATATTTAAATTGAGAGCTTAGGATGGACAAGGCTTTACTTTATTTCCTATCGGCTTTTCTGTACCGACTCGTAAAAGTTGTCTGCACTGAAGCTGTGAACAGTATGCTAACGTTGAGAAATATGTGCTGGTTAACTCACCATCACCTTCCTGGTCGGCCAGGCGGCAGATCCGCAGCAGGCCGATTCTGAACCTGGTGACGTCACTGGAGGCGGCTGGCTCTGACGTCACTGGCGACCCCTCGGTGGTGGTCACCCAGCGGTCGGTAGCCACGCACAGCGTAACGAGCGCCAGCGTGACGGCGCCAAACGTGACGGAGAGTCGTGACACGTGCTCGTGGTAGCAGGAGACCACTCCACAGCCGCGGCCCGACATCGCGGACCGTACTGGGGGCAGAGAATCGAAAAAACGTCAGTATGACTGGTCAATGGTCATGCTATACAATTTAGGCGCCGGCAAAGTCTCAGGGATGTCGTTTTCCAAAAAGCATGGGTATGGTTCTAAAGGTGTCCGTGCTGACCGAAGCACATGTGCACCTGAGTTATCATTGAAACAAGCATATTCTATATTTTGTGGGACTTTTCCATACTTAAGTCAAACAGGTTTCCCGCCCGAAAAAGTCTGCTAGGCCGAAAACCAAATTTTTGACATTGCTGTTAGATGGTAAAAAGCTCGCCATATCTGAAATTGTGTGTCATAACCGGCTCTCGCCTCTACCGGCGGCCTCCCTCCCTCTCTCTCTCGCATACTGGTCACCCCTCTCGTCCCAGTGGACTCGCCCGGTGCCTCGGGCAGTATCTGTGACACGACCTCGGGTGAGCGGCCGGGAAGCAATACAGTTTTTGAACGGGACGCCGTGCTGTCTACTTCAATGGCGACGAGGCGGTGAACGTGTGCGCCGCGCGGTGATTAGTGGCAAGGGAAGCAGTGATGGCGTCAGTGAGCCGGGCGCCCGAGTTTGATGCGGCAGTGGAGTCGTTCGGCGCGTACAGCAGGCGTCTCGAACAGCACTTTGTCGCCAACAGCGTCGGTGAAGATGAAGTCGAGAAGCGCCGCGCCATACTGCTGAGCGCGGTTGGCGCCAGCACCTTCAGCCTCCTGGAGGACCTCATAGCCCCAGCCGCAGTGGGAGACAAAACGTTCAAGGAGCTTGTGAAGATATTGGTCGATCACTTTGAACCGCAACAATCTGCAATTGTCTCCAGATTTCGGTTTCACTCCTGCACTCGCGATGCTGGAGAGTCAGTGTCGTCGTTTTCGGCGAGGCTCCGCAAGCTTGCGAAGCCCTGCAAGTTTCAGCCAGGCCAGCTGGACGAGATGCTTCGTGACCGACTGGTTTGCGGTATTCAGCATGAGCGGCTGCAATCACGTCTGCTGAGCGAGCCGCGGCTGACTCTGGACACGGCTCTGGAGATCGCTCAGGCCCACGAGTCGGCAGCAGCCAGTGCAGCCGAGCTCAGCGGCCGCTCCGAGTCGTCTGCCGTCATCGGACGAGTCGATGGGACACGACGGAGGATGGTGAACGACAGCCGACCAGCCCTGGTGAACGACAGCCGGCGAGCACTGGTGAACGACAGTCGGCGAGCACTGGTGAACGACAATCAGCGTCCATTGGACACCGGCGGGGCTGCCTCCCGCGCTCCGCCGGCGCGGGGTACCTGCAGCCGCTGTCTCAGCCGACGGCACGTCCCGGCGGCCTGCCCCTTCCGCTCGCAGAACTGTTATGCGTGCGGAGCCGTGGGCCACACCAGAGCGGCCTGCCGGAGCCGCGCCGGGTCTCAGCGTGTCCGGCTGCTGGAGGAGGAGGAGCAGCCGGAGCCGTCCGTGACGCCTGGGACTTCTCAGAGTGGCGCGGCGCCCCACAATGACGGTGAGGACGAGCCATATTACTTGTTCCGTGCTCAAGGGGTGCAGTTGGGAGTAGATCGTAAACCACCACTAATGGTTGATGTATGTGTGGACGGCTGCCCGCTACGTATGGAGTTAGATACGGGAGCTGCATTGTCTGTTTGCTCAGAGAAAGTGTTCAAGGGTACTTGGCCGGTCGGTGGGCCCCATCTTAGGCCATGTGACAAACTGTTGAAAACTTACAGCGGTGAGGTGTTAGGGGTGTGTGGTCAGGCGATGGTGGATGTTCAGTATGGCGGGCAGCGAGCACAGCTGCCGCTGGTGGTAGTTAAGGGCGAGGGACCATTTCTTTTTGGTCGAAACTGGCTGTCGACCATACGACTGGACTGGCCCTCCATATGTCAGCTTACCGACCGCTCTCGGGCTCAGAAGCTCGTTCATGAGTTTTCTGAAGTTTTCAGCGATGGTTTGGGGTGCTATCGTGGCGCTGAGGTGACCATTTCGGTGGATCCCGATGTGAAGCCGAGATTCTTCAAAGCTCGCACAGTCCCACTGGCATTCCGCGAGCAGGTGGATGCCGAGCTGGAGAAACAGATCCAGCAAGGACTGTGGGAGCCGGTGGAGCACAGTAAGTGGGCCGCCCCCCTAGTCGTCGTGCCAAAACCAGGGGGAAAGATCAGGTTATGTGGGGACTATCGCCTCACGGTCAACAGGGTGGCCAAGGTGGACCAATATCCGCTTCCACGCGTGGAAGAGCTGCTAACACGCTTAACGGGCAGTAAGGTCTTTTCAAAGATAGACCTTAAGTCCGCGTACAACCAGATGGTTCTCGATCAGAGTTCACGTGACTTTCTGACCGTAAACACACAGAGGGGATTGCTGAGACCCACGAGACTTAGCTTCGGGTACGCTTCAGCCCCGTCCCTGTTCCAGAGAACCATGGACACGCTGCTAGCGGGGATACAGGGTGTGTGTGTGTTCCTCGATGATGTTGTCGTGGCGGGTGAGACTGTGGAAAGTCATGATGTAGCGCTGCGTGAGGTGTTGCGCCGGCTGCGTGAGGCGGGTCTCAGGGCGAACCGGGACAAGTGCTGTTTGGGCGTGGACAGCGTAACGTACCTGGGTCACAAGGTCAGCGGGAGCGGCGTGGAGACGACTGAGGAAAAGGTCGCTGCCATCACGGGCGCGCCAGAGCCCCGAGATGTCTCCGAGCTGCGGTGCTGGCTCGGCCTTATCAATTACTACGGAAAATTTTTGCAGGGTTTGGCCACCACCCTTTCGCCGCTCTATGTTCTGTTACGGAAAAATCGCCCTTGGCGGTGGACGCACATTGAAAGGAGAGCTTTTGAGGATGCGAAACGTTTGCTCAAAAGCCCTCCCGTTTTGGGACATTTTGACCCAAAACTCCCTGTGATTTTGGCATGTGACGCCAGTCCAGTGGGATTGGGGTGCATTCTTAGCCAGCAAACGAGGCAAGGGGAGAGACCGATCGCGTTTTATTCGCGCTCTTTAAACGAGACTGAAAGGCGCTACTCCCAGACCGACCGGGAGGGTTTGGCGGTGGTGGCCGGTGTAAAGAGGTTCCACTATTATCTGGCGGGCCGTCCGTTTTCAATACGGACCGATCATAAGCCCCTGCTGGGGCTGATAGGTGAGTCCAAGCCGCTCCCACTGATGGCATCGCCCCGGGTGGTCAGGTGGGCCCTTATGCTGGGAGCGTATGATTATCGCCTTGAATTCGTCCCCGGCGTTAAACAAACTCACTGTGACGCGCTCAGTCGGCTGCCCGTCCCGTCGTCGGTGGTCGGTCAGTCGAGCCCCGTTCCGGCGGAGACGATACATTTGATGGAGTTTTTAGACGCGTCTCCGGTCACTGTGGACCACATTCGCCGGTGGACCTCTAGAGACCCTGTCTTGGCTGTCGTGCTTCAGTATGTTCAGGAGGGCTGGCCGGATGACGGGGAGGTGCTGTCGCCAGATTTCCGACCTTTTAGGTCCCGTAAAGCCGAGCTGAGCATTCAGGATGGATGTATATTGTGGGGTTCGCGCGTTGTGATACCGCCACAGGGAAGGGCAAAAATTTTGAGTCTTCTACACGACGGGCACTGCGGAGAGACGCGCACCAAGTCGTTCGCAAGAATGTATGTGTGGTGGCCTAACCTTGATCAGGACATCACATCCATTGCACAGAATTGTGGCAAATGTCAGGCTTATCGTGCCAACGTACCTGAGACTCCGCTGCACCCATGGATTTGGCCATCAAAACCATGGGAGCGTGTGCACGTAGATTATTGTGGTCCAATTGATGGCTGGTGGGTATTAATTGTCATTGACGCTCATTCAAAGTGGATGGACGTGTTTCCGTCGCGATCATGCACGTCCGAGACCACCATAGAACATTTGCGCGCTTCATTTTCCTCGTGGGGGCTGCCAAAGACTCTTGTGTCTGACAACGCACAATGTTTCTTGTCTGAGACTTTTCAGACGTTCTGTCGCTCGAATGGCATTCATCTTTTGACTTCTCCTGCACTGTCTCCGAAATCTAACGGTTTGGCGGAGCGTAGTGTTCAGACATTGAAAAACAGCATTAAAAAGCAAACATCGGGCACGATTCACACCAAAATAGCGCGTTTTCTGCTGCGCTATCGCACAACACCGCACACAACCACCCAGGTGTCCCCAGCGGCATTATTCCTTGGCAGGACGGTGCGAACCCCGCTGGATCTGGTCAGGCCTGATCTGAGTGGTAGAGTGAGGAAAAACCAGGACAAACAAAAACAGTACGCCGACAGGGGCTCCTATGAACGTTCCGTGTGCGTAGGCGATGCTGTGTTTGTGTCAGCCGTTGATCGTGTACAAAGTGCTGCTGGTTGTAAATGGCTGCCGGGTGTGATAGTGGTGCGGAAGGGAGTAAAACTGGCTGTTCAGTTGCAGGATGGGAGAGTGATCTGGAGGCATCTGGATCGGGTCCGGCCGCGCCGGACTATGGCCGACGTACCGCCGCCGACCGCTGGACGGGCGCTGGACCTGGATCGGACGCGGCGGGACCTGTTTGATGCCGACGTACCGCCGAGGGCCGGACTGACGGCTTGGGCGGTGGCCCCGGCTGCTTCGGACGGGTCACCGTCGGTCCCGGCGGGCGGACCGCCGCCGGCGCCGCGATACAATCTGCGTCCGCGAGAGACGTTACGGCGGCCGGACCGGCTGTTGTGTGAGTGAAGTTTGTGAGCTCTCCGTGCCTGATATCGTTAAAAGTGACCAGAGTTTTGTTGTTACGTTAGTTGTGATTATGTTATATTGCGGGGTGGAGGGATGTCATAACCGGCTCTCGCCTCTACCGGCGGCCTCCCTCCCTCTCTCCCTCGCATACTGGTCACCCCTCTCGTCCCAGTGGACTCGCCCGGTGCCTCGGGCAGTATCTGTGACACGACCTCGGGTGAGCGGCCGGGAAGCAATACAGTTTTTGAACGGGACGCCGTGCTGTCTACTTCATTGTGGATGGCGGATGCATTCCACCTTTGAATTGCTAGCGAACTCTCCTGAATTGATAAATATCCTAAGGTTTGTGCAATTTATTTTTTATTTTAAATTGAAAAACAAACCACTTGTATTCCTTTTATAAGGGTCTTTTAATCTTAGTTCCCTGATATCAGTATTCTTTGCCCCAATAGATAACTCTTTATTGCTGAAGATACTGCGCTGTCCACAGAGCGGCGCAGTTCCAAACGCATCTTGTCAAAAGCTGCTCGCCTGTAGCATAAGAATAACTATGCATCTAAATGATAATGCCTGCTGCAAACAGCCATCACATTTGCATATTTATGTCATTTTTCGACATAAATCAAACTTTTACAGTCCGCAAATGGACCTATTATGCAGAGGCGACATGATTTGCATTGACAGCTTCTTAAAATGTTTCAGATACGCTGTAAAGCTACTGACGACACTGAGAGCTAAAATGCTGCCTGAGACGTGACGCTGTAAAACACCGTTGCTGTTGCTGAAATGATGCTTGCCACAGGACCCGTTGCTACGTTTGGTAACACTATGGCACTGTCATGGTCCTCATGGATAATCTAGCGATGTTTGGATAGATACTTATCTGGATGGATAAGGACAAGATACTGGATTGGCGTCTCCGTACTATTGGGTGAATGCCTCCTTGCCGTCCCGCCATCTGTTGGCCGAATTATCGCTAGCGAGCTTGGACGGAGCGAACGCCGTCGCTTAGCATTGATAGCATGTAGGCAGAAGGTACGGTAGGTACATCTTTTTGCAACATGACAGTGCATTTTCCCACGAAAAAACGGACAGTGCATTTTTCGAGGAAACTGGAAAGAAGAACAAAAACCTGACTGGAATAAGAAACAAGGCTAACACTAAAGGAAGTGCTTGTTTGAAACTTGTTTCTTGAATCACGAAGCTGGGAGAATGCTGCAGACTTAGCTAGCACGTGTCTTTCTCATTTTTTGTTTTTTATTTCATATGGCATCACTAATTGGCCGTGTTGCCTTGGCCGTCTTCATTGTTCGCTAACTGCTCAATCCAGTTGGGATCAATTACTAGGATAGAACTTAGGAAATGATCATGAAATCTCTTCAGACAGAAGGCTCATATTGCGGTGCAATTGGCTGTCGTAATCGGAAGGGAGGGATGCGCCATCTATCGTTTCACCGTTTTCCCATTGATCCAGCAAGGTGAGTAGGGTAGTAGGAAGGTACCTACTTACCTACAGATCTCTGCAAGTCAAAATGGGCCAATGACTGCTTGGCTTTTTGCGCTGTCTTTGAAAGTTCCACTTAGCTTCCCTGTAAATTTGGTGTTTCTGCGTGCAATACCTATGTGCCAATCGCCAGAGGGTCGCATATACATCCCGACGGCTTGCGTTATGAGCTTAGGACCTAACGGGGCCAGGGTTAGCAAACTGAGCAAACCTGTGTAATGCACTAGTCTACCTGCATTGCTTCTTTGAGAATGTGTATAGTGTAAAATGCATCACAAAAATGTGCCTCTAATTCCCCGTGCCGCAGGTCGAGCCAGTGGGTGCAGCTCTGTCAGCGGGCGGACCTAATTGACAAGTCCCCCGAGTACCTCTATGAAAACATCAGGCTGTGCTCAGAACACTTTGAGCCTTCTTATTACTATCCGGGTGGAAGCAGGCGGCTGAAACGTGACGCAGTTCCCACCATTTTTAATGTGTCCAACCCGCCAAAGCCGGTCACAATTCGAAGACTCTCGCCGGTCCAACAGGCCAGTCCTGTGAAATATATTGAAAAAGGTAAGAATTTGCAACCGACGCCAAATTTTCTGTTGTTTAATTGATAGCCTTCTAAGTGGCATTTTACTTCAAGCACCATGGCGTAGCAATGTGATCTGTTTAGCGATTGTCAATTGTTAATGATCAATATTGATCACGCTATTTTTAGACTCGAGAGTTCAAATCCAAATAAGAATGTCTCATTTTGTTCAGAACATGCCTTATTTAACCCGCGCCCCACTGGGGTCTGCGTATAACACGCCCTACTGGGGGGGGGGGGGCTATTCATAGCCCCCCTCCTAACTCCGAAACTACTGGGCCGATCGTCAAAATTCAAACGGCGTCTGATAGCCCCGGAAAAACTGTCGAGCGAAACCTAATTTCATTGACCTCGAGGTCACTGATGACGTCACAGGTCAGGTCAAAGTAAAAATTATTAGCATTTTGGCTTCTTCACGTTTTGGGCTCTGGCCGCCGTCTTACAAGTCAGATCAGGCTCATTTTTGGTTCACACACTCGTGAACAGATGCTCTAGATACTCTGAGGGTACCAAACTTGTACTTTGATTTTCAGGTCAAGGTCAGGTCATCACAGGTCACGAAAATATTATATCATCCGTCGGTCACGTGACACATGTTTTATGGTCCATTTAGGCCAAACATTGCGAATTTGACGTCGTCTGTGTCATTCGAGGTCATTTTGAGTCAAATTTCGCTTAGGTCAGGTCACTTTCAGGTCAAAAAAGGTCAAATTTTGAAGTTAACATTTTTCAACAAAAAGGTGTCTATTGGATGCAGTTTGAGCTCAGGAACACGATGGTGCTATTTATATTGGCGTACGATGTCAAATTCGTGCTGAAAAATTGATTTGAAAAATTAATAATTGTTAATTTTTTGCAATAATGCGTATAACTTGGCCATTTTTGAAGATATTTTGCTAAAACTTGCTAGAGTTAGTCATAATAATGCGTTCTATCACATATATTCCGGTTTTTTCGAAAAGTCAAAAAGTTTTTGAAAAAAAATATAAAAAATATAAATTTTGAATTTTATTATATAAAATTTTCGAAATTTTCAAAATTTCGAAAATCCGAGATAGCAGTTTGATAGCGCAGTCTATTGTGAGTCCTGTCATGCAAAGAAATTGGATCTAGCTTAAAAACTGAGCTCTTGGGAGCGATTGCCGTTGTTCAATGTTTTGCGTCGAAATCGGCCGAACATGACGTCACTCTGACGTCATTTCCGGCCGACCTATGGTAGGTATGAAGTTCAAATTTTGACACAAGGTGTCAAATTGATTCAGCCGAAGGTACTGAAAGTTTAGCGTCGATACGTCAAGCGGTTTGGAAGTTATTGCAGAAAAACGGGAGGGGGGCTATAAATAGCCCCCCCCCCCCCAGTGGGGCGCGGGTTAAGCCTCAGTGATATTATAAAATAGTATCTATAATACCTACAAATATCTACATGATGCATGCACAATTACACATTTTATGTTCTTTTTCAGAGGCTGTGCAACTCCCTATCATTGACTGGAATGGGATCGATATTGTGTTCTCATCTGAGGACGTTGACATACGGCTACCCGTCTCGGATGGTAATACCTGCTCGGAGACAGGAGGACCCGCTGAGACTTCTCAGGAAGCCAGTTCATCCAAACCCACGGCTGCCAGTCGCAGGTGACACCAGTCAAACCGGGAGACCAGGTGGGGCTATGCCCAAGGCTCAGAAAACGTCTGCTCGAGAGCCAGAATGTGATGGACGTTTATCAGGCAAATACTTCTGCCAGAAGTGAAAAAAAATAAACAAACGGATGTGTATCAGCGAATAGACGCTGGCTGCTTCATTTTTTTTTCAACAACGCATAAGTCTACCGGATTACAAGCGTCGTGAGATCGTTTTCGTGGGTGCGAGCTTGCCCTGTAGCTGTTCGTTCAGTAGTTAGTACGCCCCACTGTTTTGGTGTTTATACACTGTTGCTAAAACGATTGACCTATCAGAAATAACTAGTGGAAAGAGATTGGTGAAATCTAGGTATAGCACGTTAGCATATTTCAACGGTCATCTGCTACCTGTCACGCACGAGACAGTTCTCAGAAGATGGCTTTTGTTGATAAACCATAATAGTATTACAGGCACATATATTACAGGCACAACACCCCGTTCCGCGTCCCGCGACCGACTGCCCGCTCGCCGCGGCGCGCCCACTCCCCAGCCGCCGCCAGCCGGGCGGCGGCGCCGCGACCACTCGCCGGGCCGCGCCACGGGCGGCGCCAGGCGCTCGCCCAGGGGCGGCCCGCGCCACGGGCGGCGCCGGGCGCCCGCCCAGGGGCGGCCCGTAACACCCCTCCCCCCTAGCACAACGCGCACGATGTAACAACGATGATCCGCACAAGAAATACCGCGAACATGTCTCCCCGCGACACGAACAAACAACCACGCCTCGCCACAAAACCAGGCTGCTTCCTCGCGCCGGCCGCGCAGGGGAGGGTAAGCACCGGGATGGTCCGCCACACATTGAGTCACCGAGCTGCTACGGCTATGCCTCAACAGTCAACAGTATCATACACAGCCGCCTCTGTTATAACGTGAGTTCTTTATTCACAACCAAAGCTGCATTGCGTTAAACTTCCCTGAGCGCCAAACACCGATCGCTACTACCGCAACCGCACCCCGCGCGGGCCGGCGGCCGACTGCTCTCGAACCCCGCGTCTGCGCGCCGGCGCCGCCAATGGCGTCGCCAGGCCCCCGGGCAGGGGGGAGCAAATGGCGTCGCCAGGCCCCGGGGCAGGGGGGGAGCAGCTCGCGACACCACACCCTGCCGCCCTTAAAACGGAACACATTCACTTTAACCTGCCGCCCTTAAAACGGAACACATTACGCGTGGGAACGTGGAAACAAACACATTTTAAACCTCGGCGATCAGTCGCCTCGGGCACCTCCGGCGCCGAGCGGAACGGCGTTGTGAGGGGCCCTCGGTGTCCCCGCCGCCGCCGTCACCGACATCACCGCCACCGCCGGTGTGACTGTAGCCGCTGAGGTCACCGGTATCACCGCCGCCGCCGAGGTCACCGGCACTACCGCCGCCGCTGACGGCATCACCGCCGCCGCTGAGGTCACCGGCACTACCGCCGCCGCTGACGGCATCACCGCCGCCGCCGAGATCACCGGCACGGCCGGCTCCTCCCCGGTCACAGGCCTGACCGGCGCCGCCGGCGCGGCTGCCGTCACCGAGGCCATAGGCGCGATCGTCTCCGACAGGGCGCCCGGCGCTGCCGCCGGCGCCACCAGCCCGGTCACCGCCGGTCGTCGCTCTGACGTCACCGCCGGTCGTCGCTCTGACGTCACCACTGGTCGCCGCTCTGACGTCACCGCCGGTCGTCGCTCTGACGTCACCGCCGGTCGTCGCTCTGACGTCACCACTGGCGCCGTTCCCTGGGTCAGCCGCCGCCGCCAACAGCTGGTCAACGTGGCGCGACCAGATCACGTGTCCCACGTCCACTTCATACGACACGGGACCGGGGCGGGCGACCACCGTGCCGCGGACCCACTTCTGACGACCGTCATACGAGCGGGCCCACACTGTAGCTCCCACGGCGAATTCCCTGCTCCGTCCGCCGGCCGTCTCACGCTGCCGGTCCCGAGCCGCCTGCAGAGCTGTCTCGGCGCTCGGAACCATGAGGTTCATACGAGTGCGGAGGTTCCGCCCGAACAGCATCTCAGCGGGAGTCCGTCCGGTCGCGGCGTGGGGCGTCACTCTGTACGCCATCAGAACTCGGGCGAGCGCCAGTTCCATGCCTCCGCTGTCGTCTGCTGCCAGAGTCGCCTTCAGTGAGTTTTTTAGCGAGCCGACCGCTCGCTCCGCCATCCCATTAGACGATGGGTGATGGGGCGCCACTCTGACATGTCGGATCCCGTTAGAGCTGGCGAACTGGGCGAATTCCTGGCTCGTGAACTGTGGGCCATTGTCCGTTACCAGCACCAGTGGTAGTCCGAGACGAGCAAAAACCGTCCTCATCACCGCTACGGTCCGCTCGGACGTGGTCGTCTTCATTGGGATCATTTCAGCCCACTTGGAGAAACTATCCACCATCACCAGGAACCAGGTGCCCTTCAGAGGTCCGGCAAAATCGGCATGCACCCGCTGCCACGGGCCGTCCGTCGGCTCCCACGGGTGCCGTGTCGCCTGCGGCGGCTCAGCTCGCTTTGAGACGCACGCCTGACACCCGCGAGCCAGCGCCTCCAGCTCAGCATCGAGTCCCGGCCACCACACAAAGCGCCTCGCCAGCTGCTTCATGCGAGTGCAGCCGAAGTGACCCTCATGCAGCTCCCGCTTGACGGTGTCGCGCAGGTTGGTCGGGATGACGACTCGGCCGCCCCAGAGCAGACAGTCGGCCTCGGTCGTCAGCTCCTCTCGGCGATTCTTGAAGGGAGCCAGGTCCGGGTCCACCACCGCCGGCCAGCCCGATCGCACCGCCGCCAGAGCGCGGGCGAGCACCGGGTCTCGGCGCGTGGCCACTGCTATCTGCTGCGCGGTCAGACACGGCCCCTGTTCGGCGATGAACATTACGCCGCCTCCGCCGTACGCCGCCTCCTCTTCTGCCGACAGCCGGTTCTCCGCCTCGTCCGGCACCGACAGACGGGACATCGTGTCCGCCAGCCTCATGTCCTCCGTCCGGCGCAGCTCGATCTTGTACTGGTACGCCGCGAGCTGCAGCGCATACCTTTGCATGCGAGCCGCCGCCAGAGAGGGCAGCTCACGGTCCGGGTTCAGGATCCTGGAGAGCGTCCTGTTGTCGACCACCAGGGTGAACGGCCGACCAAACAGGAACTGGTGGAACCGCCGCACTCCGAACGAGACGGCTGCGGCTTCCCTCTCCACCTGGGCGTACTTCCTCTCCGTTGGAGTGAGCGTTCGGGAGGCGTACTGTACCGGCCTCTCGAGCCCCTCGGGCGTCACTTGCATCAGAGCCGCTCCGACTCCTGTCGCACTGGCGTCCGTGACGAGCCGCAGCGGCAGCACGGGGTCGTACCGCATCAGGACCGGCGCCGTGGACAGCATGTCCTTCACACGGCGCACTGCCGCGGCGCACTCCGCCGTCCATGCCCATTTGACGCCCGTCTTCAGTAGCGCGTAGAGCGGCGCTAGCACGGTAGACAGGTTGGGCAGCAGCCGCTGATAATAGCTGACTGACCCGATCAGAGATCGCAGCTCCTGCACGTTCCGAGGGTCAGGTGCTGCTGTGACGGCCGCCGTCTTCTCTTGCACCGGGCTCAGACCCGCCTCAGACAGTCGCCAACCGAGATACACCACTTCTCGGACTCCGAACTGGCACTTCTCTTTCTTGAGGCGGACGCCGTTGTCCTTCAGCCGCTCCAGCACCCGGTCCAGCCTGTCCATCAGCTCACGGTCACTGTCGGCGCCGATCAGCACGTCGTCCAGGTAACAGACGACTCCTGGAAGACCATCCAGCACCTGGTCCATGATCGCCTGGAACTGCGCTCCACAGGTGCTGATCCCGTACGGGAGACGGTTCATCCGCATCGCACCACGGTGTGTGGTCACGGTGGTCATCTCTCGGCTCTCTTCGTCCAGCTCACACTGGAGATAGGCGTTCCTGCAGTCCAGCTTGCAGAACTTTTTCCCTCGGATGCTGGCGAATAGCTCCTCCGGCGTGCGCATCGGATACTTCAGAGGCTGCAGCTGCGGGTTCACCGTGATCCGATAGTCCGCGCACAGCCGCACGCCGTCCTTCTTGGGGATGGGTACGAGCGGCGTACCCCATCCGGAGAAGTGTCCAGGAGGCACCTTCTCGGCGATCCCTTGATCCAGCCACTTGTCGAGCTCCCGCTCGATATCTTGCTGTAGCGCAAACGGCACTGGTCTGGCGCGTCGATAGACCGGTTTGGCGCCTTCCTTCAGTCTGAGCGCCACCTTCACCGGGATTCTGCCCAGTTCTTCTTTGAACACCTCACGGTGTTTGTCCATCACCTCCTTCAGCGTCGGCTGAGTCGCCACCGGGCACACGTTCAGCGTCTCCAGACCCGACGCCGTCCTCAGCGCCTTGATCCACTCTCGTCCCATGAGAGGTCGGTGAGAGCCCATGTCGGACACGACGAGTCGCAGCCGTGTCGCTCGGCCGTCCGTCTCCACGTTGACGTCGGCCTCGCCTCGCAGACGGATTTGCTGGCCGGTGAATGACGTGAGGTGCAGCTCACTCGGCCGCAGCGTCAGACCGGGGATGTGAGTCTCCGCGCTGATTATAGTCACCGGTGAGCCAGTGTCGATCAGCATGGTGAACTCCTGGCCGTTCACCCTGACCGTCGCCCACTCAGCTGCGGCTGGCTGCACGGCGCTGACTTGCCAGTCAGCCTGGTCGCCGTCCTGAACCAGCTTCACGCCAGTTCGCTGTTTGCCGCAGTCACGCTGCAGATGCCCACGCTCTCCGCACCGATAGCAGCGCGGCGCGCCGGCCCGCCATGGCCGCGCGCCGGCCTGCCGCGGCTGCCCGCTGTCCTGCCGTGGCTGCCCGCTGTCCTGCCGCGGCTGCGCACCGTCCTGCCGGGGCCGCGCGCCGGCCTGCCGCGACTGCGCGCTGGGACAGTGGCGCCGCCAGTGGCCCCGGCCGCCACAGCGGAAGCACGTGCCTGGCCCCGGGGGCTCGGTCGGCCTGACCCTCTCCGTCCGCTGCGGGCGTCGCACCAGGTGAACTGCCTCCCCGTCCGTCTCGGCCGGCGCCGGCGCCCCTGACAGCCGCGTCGTCAGATCCATCACGTCCCTGTGCGCCCGTGCCGTCCGCCGGACGTCCTCCAGAGAGAGGTCGTCACCCTTTAGCGCCGCCTCCCGGACCAGCTTCCTCTGTAGCTCACCTCGGCTGCCCAGGACGCATCGGTCTCTCAACTCACGGTCCACCTGCGCCGGCTCGTAGCCGCAGCGCAGGATTTGCGTCCGTAGTCTGCCCAGGAACTCCTCCAGACTCTCTTCCTGCTCCATTTTCATCCCTTGAAACTTTCCTCTTTCCGCCACCACATTATTCTTCGGCACCAGATACCGTGTTAGCTTCCTTTTCAGGCGAGCAAACTCGTCTTCTCCCTGTCTCTCGGCGTCCTCCTCAGGCAGTGAATCGCTGACATCGGCGAGGTCCGGGCCCACCAGGTGCAACAGGACTGCACACCGTCTCGCAGGCCCTTGAATGTCAACAGCGATCATATACCGCTCCAATGCCCGGAGCCACTTTTCAAAGTCCGTGCCTGGACGGTACGGCACCGCAGACACTATCTGCATCCCCGTTGGATCCATCGTGCCGCCGCCCTCTCACCAGCACGTCGTTTCTCCGGTCGGCTCGCCGCCGCTCCACCGTCGGCCCGCAGCCGCTCCACCGTCGGCCCGCGGCCGCTCCACCGTCGGCCCGCAGCCGCTCCACCGGCGGCCCGCAGCCGCTCCACCGGTCGGCCCGCAGCCGGGCGTCACCGCTCACACCGGCCGGTCACCGCTCACACCGGCCGGTCACCGCACACGCCGGTCGGTCACCGCACACGCCGGTCGGCCACCGCTCACCGCGCCGCCCTGCGCCTGTACTTGGCGCTGCAGCTGCGGTTTCCCGCGCTTTTCTCGACGGGGGCGTCACGTGGTAGTGACGTCACACGCACGTCACCGCGCGCGCATGCGCACTCGTCCCGCACCGCCCGGCCGCGCGCCAGCTTCCCGCCGAAATTACCCGCTTCGGGGACCAGGCACCTCAAACCGCATTGAGGCCCTCTCCGCCGCACCGATCGGCCAATCACACGCGCTGCCACAGCTGCGCGTCACCCCCGGCCGACCAATCAGCGTGCAGCACGCCGACGCATGCGCCACGCACGCACACCACACTGCCGAGGCATCATGGCCGCCACGAATTTCGGCGATCACATGGAAAACCCTGCCAGGACCAGGACAACGGCCGCCGCGCGACAGGCACACTACCAGCAGCAGCGCGAAAATAAAAATACTAAGCAATACTAAGCACTAAGCATTCGTACTAAGCAACGTTTGCGCCCTCACCGTCCGTGGCCTGTCCGCTCTCGCTGACCACCGCGCACTGATCACTGGCCCGTTTCGCCATCACTCGCAATCACAGCTCCAAGGCTTCACCTTGATCTCATCCTTGTCGCCAGGATGTTATAACGTGAGTTCTTTATTCACAACCAAAGCTGCATTGCGTTAAACTTCCCTGAGCGCCAAACACCGATCGCTACTACCGCAACCGCACCCCGCGCGGGCCGGCGGCCGACTGCTCTCGAACCCCGCGTCTGCGCGCCGGCGCCGCCAATGGCGTCGCCAGGCCCCGGGGCAGGGGGGGAGCAGCTCGCGACACCACAGCCTCCATACTACTACTGAGTCGAGCCGCTCCTTGCTCGCTTAACGAAACAAAAAAAAAAGGTACTTGCGCCGCCCCAGAACGAAAGTGAGACACCTCAACACCAAAAGAACACACACATTCAGCCGCTGCTACATACATGTACGGATGCACGGGCCGCCACCCGAACGACCGCCTTCACCACCTGCCCTACACCCGTTAACGCATGCGGAGCCACTTGGGGAATGACAAACTGATGCACCCGTAGCCCCTCTTGTTCAGATGTACGCCGTCCGCGAGATGGAGCCCCTCTGCCACCTTATACACCCGTCGCTTGCCGTGGCGGCAACAGAGTCGCCGCCCCAGCGGGATGACGGCAGCTCCCGTAGCCTTCTTGATTTGGCGGAGAGACTTCTCGAGTTCATAGGCTTGCGTCTCTTCCCATTGTCGGCCCCGATCCCGGGACAGCCGCGGCTGGGTGCCCACGAGTGTGACGTGCACTCCCATCCTCTGTATTTCTCCGATCCGGTCCTGAACTTCTTTCATCAACCGCGTCTTCATCCCCTCTGGTAGTTTGATGGCGTCCTTCGGGTACACATCGTTTCCTCCTACCCACAGGATTACTTGGGCACTGGAGGTGTCAGGATGAAGGCCATCCAACCACCTCCGCACCTCCATGACCCCCTCAGCCACCCAGCGGCGCAGTGTGTACCCCGGTATGGCCCGGATGGTGAGGCTTCGGGGTGGGTCGCAACGGACGTCTGTTCTGTGCAGGATCGAGTCCCCGATGAGAAGGACGGCTTCCGCGCGACCAGCCTCCGGCGAACCGCCGGACGCCCCGTCGGCCTCACCAACTACCACCTCCTCCGGCGACCCGTCTGTGGGCGTCTCCTCCCGCGGCTTCTCGTCCTGCAGCTCCATGTTCGAAAACTCCTCGAACTCTTGCGCCTCGACACCCAGCAGCTCACTTAGCAGGTCCGTTGTGTCAGTCTCCACCAGGTCGACCGCCAGCGGAGACAGATGGTCACGCACAGGATCTCCTGCGCCCGCCTCTAGCAGGGTAGTCACGAACGGGGGTGTGGAGACACCGGCTAACACGGCGGACGTCGGAGACAGCGGCGGCAGATACTCTACAGACCGCTGCGCATCACCCGTGAGCAAGCCGGTCGTCGTCGATGGTCCACCAACCGCTCCGGCGCCGATGGGGAGCGCGATGTCCTCCTGCTGCTGGACAGCCTCCAGGGCGGCACGTACTTCGGCCACTTCCCGCCGCCTCTGCTCCCTCTCCTCTTCGAGGGCCGACCATAGGCGATCGATCTCCTGCCGCATGCGCTCCATCTGAAACTAGAAAGCTGGACTCATTCATCGTCCCGCCTGATAGTATGCGGGCGGCCTTGACACCCGCCCGGTTCGCGTTATGTAGTACCCTTGGGGTGTCCCACCCTGCTGCTCCCGATGGGTCCCTCCGGCGGACCCGCCGGCCCTTACGAATGGCATGAATGGTACTTGTAAGCCAGTTGTGTGATCCTCATTGGGTATCCACTCCCGGATCCCCGTGTCATGTTCCTGAGTCATTTCCTTAGTCATATCTGGTCCCTGAGTGTGGCGCTTGGTAGTCCCTTCCTGAATGCCAGACACCCGTGGCACAAACTCCTTCAGGTCATTGTAGTGAACCTGACGTACTTTGCCGCGCTCGTCCTGAATTTTATATGTTGTTTCATCTCGCCCCCCACGGTTACCGATGATGGTCACCGGTCCCTTATACGGCAGACCCAGTTTCGGCTTCCCGCCGACGGCGGCCGTGTGATCTCGCACCCACACTTTCGTTCCTGTAGGATAGGCAGTGTGATTGACTCTGCTATCGTGGCGAACCGCCATCCGAGCAGCTGCTTTGGACGTGGCTTCTTTGACACGAGCATATGCCCGTTTCATTGTCTTCAGCCGACTGTTAAGGAACGTCCTGGTCGGGATTGGGTCAGTTTCGGGGCCATACACCACGTCCAGCGGTACCCGAGGCTCGAAGCCATGAATCAAATAGAATGGGGTGTACCCGGTAGTTTCGTGGAGGGACGAGTTGTACGCCATGGCGTAGGACATGACTCCCTCATCCCAGCTCAAGCCTTGGCCATCGACGTATTTCGAAACCATGTCCTTTAGTGTACGCATGAAGCGCTCGACCATGCCGTCGCTCTGCGGGTGATAGGGTGTTGTCCTAGTCTTGTGGATACCGAGTCTCGTATACATCTCCTTCATCATCAGAGACTCAAACTGTGCGCCCTGATCAGTGTGTAGCCTCTCCGGGACACCAAGCTCTTGGACCCAGTCTAGGAAGGCATCCATGACTGTCTCCGTCTTCTGATTTGGCATTGGGTAAATTCTCACGTACTTTGAAAAGTAATCCATGATCACGAGTGCGTATTTGTTTCCTTTTGAGGAAAGAGGCATCTCCGTGATGTCCATGGCAACCCTCTCAAAGGGGCGAGACGTCACCTCAGTCACCAATGGTGCACGCCTGCTCGGGGCAGGCCTACAGCGTCGCTGACATTGTGTGCACGAGGCGCAGTAGCTGCGGACGTCCTCGTTCATCCCCGGCCACACGAACCGGGCTTTTACCCGAGCGATGGTCCGCCTCCGACCCATGTGACCACTGGATTTGTCATCGTGGGCGAGTCTGATGATTTCAGCTTGAATTGCCTTGGGCACGGCCGCCTGGAAACGTTGCTTGCTGGCAATTCCTAACACTCCTGAGCGAACCTCTACTTGTCCCCAGTGCTTCTTCAAGACGGCCCAACCGCTCGTCTCTGTGGATTTAGGCATCCTCCCCTCCTCCCTTGCCCGACACAACGCCGATAACGTTGGATCGTCTTGTTGGGCCTCCAGCAGCAGCGACTCGGTTGATCGTTTCTCCCCGACTGCGGAGGGGGGCGTCAACGTCTTTGTCGCCGGGTTCACCCTGTCTGTCGGCCCTGACGATAATGTGGCGGGTGCTACAGAGGTGATCACGGAATATGGTGACCCTCCTACCCCAGAGATCGCCGCATTCCCTGTCGGCGAAGCCGCCGTGGACCGTGACGGTGTTGGCGAACCGCCAGCCGTCGGGACTGATCCGCCCATTGCTCGCGACATGCCGGCATCCCCAGCCAGACCACCATTGCCCTCATCGACGGACACCCCAGATGGCCTCCTCGATAGTGCATCCGCATTGCCATGCCTCACCCCACTGCGGACCCGAACCATGAAGTCGAAGGAGCTTAGCTCGACCGCCCAGCGTCCTCGACGTCCTGTGCCATCACGTTCCACCGAGATCGAATCAGGGATGTTTGCCAGAGGTTCGTGGTCAGTCACTACCTCGAACTTGGCTCCAACTGTATATTGCCGGAAATGTCTGATGCCGTGGACCACAGCCCAGAGCTCTTTGTCGTAGGTGGGCCATTTCACCTGCTGCTTCGACAGCGCCTTACTCTCATAGGCGACCACCCGCTCATACTCCCCTGTCTTCTCAGTCAAGACAACGCCAACCGCGAAGTTGCAGGCATCGGTGTACAGGACAAACGTCCCCTTGCCAGTTGGTAGCGTCAGGATCGGCGGCGTGGCCAGGACGGACTTAAGCTGCTCGAAGGCTCCTCGCATCGCTTCCGTCCACCTGATTTGACCGTCC